AGAAGAAATCATAGCTGAACCAATTCAGATTTCCTGATTCTTCCTATGTTAACAGGGAAAGATCAGCCTAAAATATGTGAATTATGTTTTGTTTTGAAGGTCAAAGTAGAAAAAGCACCTCGAGTCAGAGAAAGGAGAGGTATTAATAGTTGTAATGATGCATTTATTCCTGTTAAGGATTATGCTACTTGCCTGTAAAGATAAACATATTTCCCTGTCACCTGTTCCCAATTCACATTCACGGTAGTAAGGTGATGGAACATTTTAGTCACTTATCCAACAAATATTTATTGATTGTACACAATTTGTAACACTTGTGTAATGTGTCTAGCTATCTGCTTATTGTCTGACCATCTGAGAAACTGTACTGTGTTTTGGCTGTTCTCATATCTTAGGTGTGGTGTGTAACTCAGAGATTTTTTTTTGGCTCTTTAAAACTTATCATTTTTGTACTGAGTCATGCATTGCACTGGAGCTCAACATGGGACCTGGCACTTGGTGTTTGGTAGATGTTAGTGGAATGAATGCATGTATGCTAGCTGCTGCAGAGTCTTGGTGATCATATATGTAGGTAGACATATAATTTCTCATATTACCTAGATATTTTTGAGAGTGGAAGGCCATGCAATTCAAATTTTGTAGGGACTATCTTGGTCCACCTGGGGTGTCCGGTCGCCCTATTAATGACATCATTGATGGTGATTGGAGTCATGGCCCAGGATTAGATAGCTGGGAGTTGCCAGTGCTAAGGAACGTGCAGTCTGCCCCAGGCATAAGAGCCCAAGAATCATCTGATGGCATCAAATATTTCGTTTCACTTATTTCCTTATTCCCTACCTCCCTTCAGAAACTATTTGAAGTGACTTAGAGTAAGCAATACATGCAGTAGAACTGTAATTTCAAAACATTAATGCTAATGTGAGTAGATACAATGCCTGAGACTTTAATATAGTTGACTTTCTCCCAGCACTAGAATTTACATTCTCCATGTGATCAGGGAGTTTATCTTGTTCTTTGCTTTGTCCTTAGGGCCTAGAGTAGTGTCTGAGTATGTAAAAGGCACTCATTTATTATTTGTTGGCTAACTAATTAATTGTTAATATTAATTGTTAGTATATTTTAGCCACAATTTGGAGACCTCAACCTAGGAGTTCTATATTCAAAGAACCTTGATTTGTTGGAAGAACTGTCAAAATCCTGTCCAGGCTTTTGACAGATTTGGCAAATGCTGCTTTTCTTTTTTTAAAATTACATTAGCAAACCTTATATAGCTATGGCTTACTAACATCTTGTTCTAACCATATTTGGAGTTTTTATAAATTATGTTTTTAAAGGGTACAACAGACTCTTGCTGTGTCAATGAGCCTATAATTTTTACAGGTGACAGCTTTTGTTACCTAGAATCAATGTGCTTATTCTTTTTGTTTGAGATTGCTGAAATGAGCAATTTAAGTATTTTTGTTGTTGTAATATCATTTTATTGGTGTCTCCTTCAAATTGTGTTGTTTTGTCTATGCTGAATTCCTTCTGGAAGTGATGAAGTTGGGGAGCACCTTGGATCTTTTCTTTAAACCCAAATAACCAGGTTTGTTTTTTTTTTTGTTTTTTTTTTACTTTTTCACATCAAATTTAGACCTTTACAGTATTAATTTTGTATGTAGGCAGTCATGCACTGTAGATATTGTAAAGCATTGCCTCTGCATATAAAATTCAAACTTGGAATATTTACAGTAGATGTTGATAACACAACAGAGAATCAACTTCAGAGTATGTTTTCAAAATCATTTATTGGCCCTGTAACACTGTTACAGAATTGGAACAAACATAATCAGCTTACATTATAGTATTTATAAATTGATGTCATTCAGTTAAAATGCAACTAATATTAAGACAGATTTTCAAGAGCAAAAACAGGCAGGATGAATTTAAAAAGGCAAGAGGAAAGAAAGAGGGAGAAAGACAGTTACATTATTAGCCATTGTTTTGTGCTTCAAGACTATAACTGATGGACTCTCAGATAACCTTCATGGGCTAATTTTACTGCATATAATTTTTTGATTCTTTCAAATGATTAAATGAATAGTTCTTGACAATAAATAAAGTTTTTAAAGGTACAAATTTACACCTCTTTCTCAAAATCATATGTACAGTAGTTCCTGCTGTAATTCCATTTCTCCTCTCAGATTCAATAATAATACATTACAGTGTTTTGTGGCCCAAATCCTTTGATCTGTTCTTAATCTGACATTCTTTGGTTTAATGCTTTGATTCATTCAGAGAATTATACATTTTACTAAATATATCACAGTTTGAAATATAGTTTCCCGATTTTCATCAGCTTTCATAGAATTCTTAATTGAATTCTTAAATCGCTAGTATTACTTTTAAAAATTAGTTTATTGAGCTCTTAAACACTTATCCTGAGTTCCTTGTAAGTCTAGTTCGTACTAGACCAGGGATCAGCAAACTATCTTTGTAAAGGTCCAGATGGTAAATATTTTAGGCCTTGCATATCCAGTGGTCACAGTTGTAACTACTCAGCTCTGCTGTTGCATTATAAAAGCAGTCATAGAAAATAAATATGTAAACAAATGAAGGTAGTGTTCTAATACAACTTTATTTATTGACAGTGAAATTTGAATTTTATATAATTTTCACATCACAAAATGGTCTTTTGATTTTTTTTCAACACTTAGAAATGTAAAACATATTCTTAGTTTGCAGGCCCTGCAAAAACAGACAGTGGGCTGAATTTGGCCAGTGGACCACAGTTTGCATACCCTGCCCCAGACTCAAAGTTGGACCCTGAGTTGTATGTCACATGTCTCCAGAAGAAGGAATTTGAAACATACCCCAGAGAGAATCATGTTTTACATTAGTTAGTCCATTACTCAGTCCATAATTATCAATCATATATTAGAACAGATGCATTGCTGGTAAAATCAGATACTGAATTCCAAAAACATTACATGGAGATTAGTTCAGAAATCATTGATACCAAATAAATGAAGGGCTGGGAAAAGAATCCTGCATAAAAGTATCAAGTTTTTAAAGTTTTTGCTACAACTTAGATTTGTTTTCATTCAATTGGATTTTTATCAGCTTTTAAAAATTGAATAAACTGAAGTCACTCTAGAATTATTAGGACAGCATTTTTTATTTTCTTTGTTCCTCAGTGGGACCACACTTCTGTAGAAACAGGATTATGCTCAGGAGGCAGAATTCTTTATATTTCAGTTGTGTTATATATAGGTCCAATACCATTTTGTTGAACTCCAAATAGTATACCAAGTTTTTAGTTGCATTTGCATTTTTGTTATGTTACATATTGCTTGAAATAAGTTGTTTGGTTGATAATCCTTTTGTTAAAATAGAACTTTATTTTAAAGACCTTTGTCTTAATGGGATTAGAACTGTATTACCATTTAAATATGAGTTTCTGGTGGTTGCCATAAAAGTGTTGATAGTTTCCTACCCTTTTTTTGTTCTTTATACAATATCTTGCACCTCTTTTCTTGCCTGCTCTCTAACTTATGCCAGGTTGGCATAAAAATACTTTAGGAAATCTGACATCAGAGAAAAGTATTTTGAAATCTCTAATATACACTATATTTTGTACTTCTTCTTAAAGTAAAACTTTCCCCTGGTACTTTGTTTTTCTGGGACTATTGTTGGTGCAAACTGTTTTTCCTATTTTATGCTGCTTTTCAATTTGTTTAGTGTTCACTACAGGAGTTCCAATGGGTTTTTTTCCCCATTAGCATTATTACCAATGTTGAATGTACCTGGGCATAACTGCTTTTCCTAACCCTGTCATATACTGTTGCCATTTCTTAGCATATTTTCTCACTTAAGTCTTTACTGAATGTCCCTTCTCTTCCTTATTCTCTCATCTTCTACTCACTCAAGATTTACCAAATACCTGCTTTATAGCACTAAGCACCCCACACATACCGTGTATTATTTTTGGTGTCAGAGCTTCATCACTTTCTTTTGTAGTCCATTCCCTTCCACTATTCTCTTACCACTTTCCTTTAACTTAGACTTTTCCATTTCCAGCTTTTAATTCACTTGACCTCCTTACTTTCTTTCTCTGCCACTTGCCTACTAGGACTGCTGCACATCATTTCTCTCTCTGCTGCCCAGGCCTCTAGCTCCTTATCTTCCTCCTTGAAATTGGATGGGCCCGGGGGTATTTGTACAGTAGCATCAATGCATTGAAGCAGGCTTAGCTAAGTGAATACAGGGAAAAGCAGTTCCTTTACTCTCACTCTGCTGGCTCCATTACAGGACTGCCAGCTGAAGTAGTCCTTAGCCATGAGGATGTCTTCTAAGATCATGCCTCCAGTTTTTGGTGAAGGATCACAGAAAATATTGGGTCACGCTCTTCATTGATTCCCCCTCTCCCCACCTTGATTGAGGATTTTTGAAATGTAACTATCTTCTATGTCAAAAATCCCTTATTTGTCTTAAAATATCTTGTGTTACACTGTCTACACTGAATTATAGGCATATCTTTCTCTTAATTCAATGAGAGAGTTTTCATTGTGATGAAAAGAATTACTTTAATTATAGTCAGGGGACTGTGTCCAGCCTTATAGATGGCTGTTTGCATTCAGCCTCCTGTAGTTGTGTAGCCTCATAGGTTATCAGAACTGGAAGGGACCTGAAAAACTATTTTGCTTTCCTGTTTTGCATATTGGAAAGTCAAGGCTTAACCTGATGAATGCCAACATCTGTGTCACACTGGTGAAAAGCTAGGATTGGTATTTGAGTCTCCTGATCCCAAGCTTTCATTGAATCAACTGGTTTTTCTATAGTGTTCATTCAGAAAAGAGATGTGAATAAAGAATGTCCTGTGAAGGCCAGGTATGTGGCTCCCACCTGTGATCCCAGTACTTTGGGAGGCGGAGACGGGAGGATTGCTTGAGGCCAGGAGTTCTAGACCAGTTTGGGCAACATAGTGAGAGCCTGTCTTTACAAAAATAAAATAAGAAAAATTAGCCAGGCATGGTGGCTCATGCCTGTAGTCTCATCTACTCATGAGCTGAGGCAGGAGGATTGCTTGAATCCTGGAGTTTGAGGATGTAGTGAGCTATGAACGTGCCACTGTACTCCAGCCTGGGTGACAGAGCCAGACCCCGTCTCTATAAAAAAAAAAAAAAAGAGAGTTCTATGAGATGATAAATTATTGTCTTTTTTTTTAAACACCTGGAACAGTGATTCCTATCTCCTCAGAAGATCTCAGTATTGGCTTTTGATTCACAAATGCCAAGATTGCTATAGAAAGCAGTAATACCAATCTAAAATGGTTTGTCTTACAAACCTAGCAATATCATTCTGAGGCCTGGCATATGCAGGAGGGGCAACCTACCTGAAAAATGGGATAGGAGACTAAGTGCCAGCGGTCAAGTGTGCATACTACACCAGTAATCATCAGGTATGCCACAAAATGGATATATTAAGCTAAATTGCTTACTTTTGTCGTTCCTTTCTTCCTTGTATCTAAGATTACCACTTTTTTTTTCTCACCATAAAGAAATCATAGTTTTAATGATTTTAATTCAAATCACACTTTTAATTGTCCTGCCATTTTGATGAAAATAATCTGACTTTCTTGAAGCAGAGTAGGAATTTTTGCTAGCACAGTTTCTTAGCAAAATATGATTAATCAGTAAAGTTTATAGAAGGAAGGATTACTTCTCTTTTCACCAGAAAACTTTTGAAGTGTCTTAGTAATTCAATCCTATCCCAGGCTAATGACAGATAGTCCATCTTTAGGTTAGATAATAAGTAGAATGAAGAATTGGATGGATTTGGTATGTGGGTCTAGACCTAGGATTGTATGTATATGCATATACACATGTAGAGGTAGAATAATTGTAGATGCAATGCTCTTTCAGGATGATCTTTGCCAGGTCCACCAACCTATAAATGAACCATCTGTCAGTTTGCCGCTTTACCATTTCCTGGAGAAGTGGCCCTTCCTCTTTGGCCTTTAATAGTGGTAATTTTAGCTTTCCAGATATTTTTGTAGATTAATATATCCAGGTGTATGACTTACCTTTTCCCTCCCATGTGGAGGAAAGTGTTGGAGGTGACAGTTTTTGTGATGTGTAGCTTCCCACAGCCATTTTGGTAAACAGGCTTATCCATAAGTCCTGGGGGAGCTTTAGCAGAAATTTTAGTGATGCCTGTAGATTTTGGCTTAGGGATCCGTGTTGGGATTCTCTGCTTGTGTAGCTCCTTGATCTTGAATTAAACAAAAGAACAAAAAGTAGTTAAGGGTACAGTTGGAGAAGCAGACATTGTTCAGGACATGGAGTCAGTTTGGGGGATTTGGCTTTAAAAGCATTAGGTTCTGGGAACACATCCGATTAACGATTGTCAGGTTGAAGAGAAAAACTTGGCAAAGCAGTTCTGCCAACAAGTATTGAACATGTGCTGTGTATAGGCCCTTGATAGTAGATAGTGGTAGATATGAAAATGAATAGGTTATGTTTCTTGCTTTTTGGCAATCACAGTTTAGTGGGAGACAAACAAGTAGTATCTCAAATTAATCTCAACAAGAGCCACGAGATTGCCAGAGAAAGGTTAATTTCAACTGAGATTGTCTAAGAGAGAAAGGGAGAAAGTGCTTAATGAAAAAAGTAGAATTTGGCTTGGGCTTTTCAAGACTTAGGATTTTTAACAGCAAGGATGAGGGAGTACTTTTGGTAACAGGACGAGAGAATGCTTTGGGCAATGGCCCTGAGGTAGGAAAGTATCAGACATTTGAGAAATGGAGTGACTTCAGATTAGGTTGTATTTGTAAGGTAGGATGGAAATGTAGCCTGGAGCCAAATAGGAGAAATTGCACCTGATTCTATGGACAGGGGTGGAGACGGAGAGGTAAAAGCAGGAAAGTGGGGTAGAGGTTGGAGGGAAGTACATTGTAGAGGTAGAATTGTATTAATATTTATTCACTGATCAATATATGCGGGGTGAGAGAAGAGTCACAGGTTGAATGATCAGGACTAGTGAGTTTAGTGGAGTGTAAACAGTGAAGGATTGATTGAATTCATACTTGCTTAGAAAGATATTCTTGTTTTCATTTGCTAAGGAAAAACTCTTGGATAAGAATGTTTGCTGGTAAAGAGATGGGCAGAGGGTCTCAGCTAACTATAGATCCCCCATTATAATAATAATAAATTTCCCTTTGGTTGCATCATTCTTTCTTTGCTATGAGTTCATACATATAAATCTTTTAAAATAAATCTTAAAAATGCATTGTATTAATAGTTTTCATAGATTTCTAATACTGGTTTTATAGGAGGCCATCTTGTTTTTCATTCTATAGAAATTTGTTTCCATATTTTTATTGTAGTGATAAAGTGCAGTGCCTTTACCTTTTCCTGTACACATTCACTTTTTTATGTGTATATAAGATTTTAATTTTATTTCAGTGTCTCAGAAATATAGTCTGATGTTATTGGGTTTCAGTACTGACTTCACTTGAATACAGATTTTTAACTCTTAACCATTGAACATTTAGTCAAAATGTATATTAGATATTTAAAGAAAATGAAATAGAACGCCCTATTCTATTCATTTTAGAATAGACTAGAATGAAAAACATCAGAATGCATTACATGTAGTAAGTAAGGCTAAGTACTGTTTTGTGAATATTGCTTCAGTTGATACATGTGTGTGTAGGCATACACACCCACACGCCAGGTTATATGATACCATATATTTATTATTGAGGGCCATAGGTGATAGCAAAGAGTTTGAAATCCACTGAACTAGAAGAAAGGGAGGTGCTTGGTATGAAGTTAGGTATTTACTGCTGGAATTGCTAACAAGATAATATAAAGTTTCGGAAATGTTCTTTTGTAAGGGACTACAAATATATTCATACTTAATGAAAGATGCAATAGCAATTAGAACTTTGTCACATTCACCTATTTAAAATGCCTCTGAACTTTTATAGCAACTTAAAAATGATTTTCAAATAAACACTACATAAACGTAGCTAAAAATATGGATCTTTCAGTTAAGGCTAAGCTACATATGGAATATGCTTTCTTTTGGTACATTTAGTTAATATTCTCAATGCCTAGGTACTAGAAGAGTGTCTTTGGCTTTAGTATTCTTACTGACTTTTTTTGTGCTTAATCCTAAACATGGCAAATGAGATGTTGATACTCTGATAGCAGTGTCCTCTTTATCTAAATGGTGTTACTACCTTTCAACTTGACCTCATGGTCTCATCTTCAGTACTAAAGTGTTTCTTCAACATTTTGCCTCTCAAATACATAAAGGGTTTGTTTGTTTGTTTGTTTGTTTGTTTGTTTGTTTAAGTAATGAAACTCAGTGCCTCAGTAAGGGTTTGGTAAGATGGACAGCTTTGGTGATGATTATGGGAGCAGTTTGTTAGTGTGTATCAAGAACCTGAAAACACACTCTGACTTAGTTTATTGTTAGGGATCCTTTCTAGGAAATATTCAGAGAGGCAGGCAAGGATATCTGATTTAGCATTATTTATAACAGTGAAAAATAGATAGTCTAAAACTCTAGCAATCAGGGTGCTATAACTGAATTACAGTATAATCATATGAAAATATTATGCTATCTTTAATTAATGATGCTTTTGAAGATAAAGGAAAGTGCTTACTTAGAAGTGTTAAAAGCAGGATTAAAAACTATATACGTGCTTTAAATGTTTATGTGTGAAGAGAAAATACTACATTTTGTATTCTCCACATTTTCTGTGGTAAGTATACAATTAGAAAAAGCAACATTAGATTATATTAAGAGATAGAAAATGAAGGGAACACCTCAGAGATCAGAACATTTCTATGGGCATCAACTATATTATCCAAACCATGAGTGGTAGAAGCTGCAGTTGAAATCAGTGGTGGACTGACTTAATCAAGTCTGCTGATATTGTGACCATTACATTAATAATAGCCTTTACAAGATAGGTTTCTGTGATATCCTGTAACTTCATCAAGATTAAAGTGGTTCTCCAATTTGGTGTACAAAAATCTATGTTGGATGTTGGGATCCTATTTAAATTGTAGATTCCTGGACTTTACCCTGAGACATTGTAATTCATTTGTCTATAGATGTGCCCAGGAATCCACATTTTTAACAAATACTCTCAGGGTGCTTTACTGTGATGCAGGTGGTCGGCCTACTACACTTTGAGAAATGCTGCCATAGTTGAAATTCCTTTAGATATAAGTTTTAAGTTTTCTTTCACCTGGAACTCTGGCCTACCTACCTGGGTATGCATAGTTAAGCACTGTGAAAGGCCAGGGCATTATGGCCTAGTGGTGACCTAAAAGAATGTTCATGAGAATCATCTGTAGGATTTTTAAAACACAACAGATGCCCAGACCCCATCTCAGAACCTGTAGATTGTCTAGGAATGGGTGAGAGGCATGTGAATTTTTAATAAGCATCACAGGTTATTAAGTTTGTCTGATTAACCAATTGGCAGAAACATGGTATTGGTGGAGCTTATTTCTTTTAAGCAACACTGGTATGTTTTGGTGAAGACAATGTGGCTTGGTATGGTGGTCACTGATAGGGCCAGCTGCCAGAAAGTTCTTGGGTTCCTACTGTTTCTATACCATTGGTGTACAAATTTTTCATGTTTTCTTGGTAATTCTGATTTCACTACATAGTTTTTATCTCTAGATGGCAGCAAAGGCTAGTTATTTTAGTAAGACAACCCTAAATGTCATTCCCAAATCTTAAAAGAAAAAATGATGTTTTTTTCTTGCATGAATTTTATACTTGGACATGTTTCAGTAAATGAACTATGGAGCATTAAAATGTGTCATCTCTTGGATCATTTTTATAGAGCATTATGTCAAATAGCCCCAAGAAAGTTTTATCCAAATTTGGAATGCATATTGCAAGAGGAATCCATGCATAAGGCTCTTTTAAGACCACACAGTGAATGTTCTGTTCAGAGTTGGAGGCTCCTGGGTTTCATCAAAAAGCAGATGTCTTGGAGGAGATTAAGTAAGTTGGAAAGCTCATTCATAGAAAAAAAAAAAACAACTTAAACAAATGCTAACTTAATTCAACATGGAGTTTGGGATTTGGAATGAATTACAAATCTAAAGGATGCTGAGCTCAATGAGGCAGAAGCAGTGGTTCTATTAGGGAGCAGTGGAAAGAAGAGGAGTATATTTGTGGAATATATTCATTAAATTCTAAAAGTGTCGGTTTGTTTTGTCCATAAGTTCTAAAAAGAAACCTAGCAGTCTGCAGACTCCCTGGTTATGGTAAGTCATTAGATAGCATTGAGCCATAGTGCTCAAAAGAAGTTTAGAAAGGTGAAATGTTTTCAGTTTTATTCAAAGTGTCTGTTCTATAGCCCAGTTTCTACATGACCCTTGTGTGCTTCACATTATCATGAAAGCAGACATCTAAAAATATACCAGAACAAAATCAGCATTTATGGGGAAGCTGTCAGATCCTAGTTAGACAGCTGGAGTCAGGATGTTTCCTTTTCTCAAAATGAAATTAATTTTGTAAGTGCTTTGAACTTTTTGGAGATGTATTCGCAACATACTGTGTAAGAAAGTAGTGTACCCTCAGGAGTGGTCGTGACTTTAGGGACGGCAGGGCCCGTCATCACACCTTAGCTCTAGAAGTTGAGAAGTTCAAGACTCCCAAAACCTTTGGTCATTTTGATTTGTGGTAATTGATGTGGAGTGGGAGCAGGGGGGTGTGGATTCAGAGCTGCCTAACTCTCCCAGGGACTCAGCTGTGGAATGCTTGGTCAAGGCCATGTATTATCAGAATGACAGTCTTTTTGTTTTTATCTCAGTGTTTAATGGGAAAGTACATAAGTAATGATGATTGATATGGTGATGAAAAGGAGGAAATGGAGAAAAATATCTAAACTGGAGAAAAATATCTTTGAAATATTTTTTTTTTCTTTTGTCTTTTATATTGTTTGGCAAATCACTACTAATTTGTTGTGGGGGGGGAATGGAAATAATAGATAATGAATATGGCACATAGCCCAAAATTTCATATGCTTTTTCTCTTGATTTTCTCAGAACTTCCCTATTACCAGCTTTGTCACTAAAAGTTTTATAGTTTTATATGGCAATGCGTCCTTCAAAGGGAAACCTGTTTGATCAGCTTGTCCCATTCGCCTCCTGAGAGAACATTTGGTTTTACAGTGTTCCACTGCTGTGACTGACATTAAAGAGTTGTCTGGTTCCTGAGATGTAGGTTAGAGT